TCTTTATTTTACCCCAATTTTTTCCTAATTTTGTCCAACGAACCGATAGTTAAAAATTGTACGTAAGAAATTATAGGAAGAAGAAGGGAATAGAATTCTGAATAAATTTGGAATTGTTCATTGGTCGGTAGTGTTATGGAACTAAAAAACTTTGCGCATTGTCATAGATTTTTATAAGCTTCCAACTTAAGCTCCATATTTAATTTATTTACTTATTTTTTCTTTAACTAGTCTCTTTTTAATTTTGGTACATTTCTATTGTCTCTCTTTTTTAAGGAAGGGACTTGTACCTCAGCGTATTAACAAAGTGGAGTGAATCGAGCGATTCTAGTGCGCTGCTAGAACACAATAATATGAAAAGAAATGACATTGCATAACTTTTGTAGTCATGCTCTTTGATGGAAAAATTGAAATCTCCCTTTTACTTTCTTATGAATAAAATTACTGAACTGCCTGCGTGACTCTTAATCTTTGGTTCCGCCACTTGATACCGCCAACGCGCTTCCCGCCTCAGCGTTTATTATAATAAAGAGACAAAAAAACGTGGGTCTGAAATTCAGAATTCCTTGACAAAACACTTTACAAACTCTCCCGCCACCTAGAATGATCCGGCAACCATTCATGCCAGATTCCACCAAATAATGAATGCTCTCAATCCGCAGTTCCAAAAATTATAAAAATGGCAAATTTTACGGAGACACTAAAACTTAGCACAATTCTACTCCAAATATTCAAATTCTGCCTCAATATCGATTCAAGCACTTGTCCGAAATTCTTTTTAGATATTAGTAGTTTAAAACTCCAACAGAATTTTCGAAATCTCTCCGGAATCCAGCGCAAAAATAGTGTTCTTTCTTTTCTTGAAAATTTGTTTCATCGTGTACATAGGAACTGAAAAACTTGCAACGTGGCAAACTGACGTGTTAATGTTTTTGTCGAAACGTCGGTGATGAAAAAATTTGCAACCTCGCAAGCGCTACTATGATTTCAGCGAGAGTTCTGATCTTTTGCCATCATAAGTCTAAGCAACTATTCAACCTTAGAGGTATTGCACAGTATCAAACGTAATGGACCACTAGACAAGGTACGAATTTCAGCATTCTGATGCATGTTCCTGAACCAAATTCAACGTAAAACACTATGCGGACAATGAAAATTACCTAAACCAATTCCTTACGAAGATATTTGATGGTTCTTGACGCATGAATTCAAACCATCCGCTCATGAAAACTCAATGCTCCACGTGATTCACATCGCGCTCTAAACGTTATCATGATAGTCTCTGAGATATAAAAATCTGGCAAACTCAGTCTTGACGCTTTGACTCAGCTGCAGCAAATGGGCCTGTTGCAAACTTTTGCTAGAGCAAAAATAAGAGTTGTTTCTTATAGATAATGCCTCAAAAATCACGATGAGCGCATCGGCAAAGTCTGAAATGCACTCATAACTTCACAATCTGCGTAAGAAATTTGCGTTTTTTTAAGCTTCCCGCTTCAAAAACGATACTACGGCATAGGTGAACATTTTGTTAGAGGAGTCGCTCCATCGTCGGCGATATTCATCATGGCCGACGCTTGCACGCAGTTCCGCGCGTAATTCAAGGAGAGTTCAAGGTCAATCAATTCGGGCGTGGAAAATATGAACGTTAACACACCGATTGTTATCTGGTCTAATCCAGTTCAGGTGTTATCTCGTCCCATCAAACGTGTTTTGGCGGATTGGCGTCGGCTATGATGATCATTGCCGACGATGGAACGACTCTTCTTACAAAATGTTCACCTGTGCCGTAGTATCTTTTTTGAAGCGGGAAGCTCAAAAAACCGCAAATTTCTTACGCAGTTTGTGAAGTTATGAGTGCATTTCAGAGTTTGCCGATGCGCTCATCGTGATTTTTGAGGCATTATCTATAAGAAACAACTCTTAGTTTTGCTCTAGCAAAAGTTTGCAACAGGCCCATTGCTTATAGTTTGAACAACACGTAGTGGGAAATGAACATTGCTCGATTTAGAAGCTTGCTAAAACCGTAGTGGTGCGCGATTTGACTCACGTAGAGCTTTGAGTTTCTTGTGAGCGGGCAGTTTAAATTCCTCGTAACCAGCGTGAAATAAACGACAGAGCAAAGGGGAGAATTTTATGAGCCCCCATTCGCAGCCCGCAGCCCGCATGGCGCACGACCCGCCTTCCATTACCACTTTTCATCTAGCGTTGCGAGTTCACTAATTACTTAACACGACCAGTATGTTATTTTAGAAGTCGAAACTTTAAAAAAAAAAACTAAAAAAAGAAGAAAAAACCATTTACACGATTCACGAGTTTCTCCCCGCAAGAAATCGTTCCCCACCCGCCCGCCGGGTGAGCCGTGGCGTGCTGCCAGCGCGGAACGCGCACTGACGCCTACAAACTTAAAGGGCTACTTCACGCATTGTGTAATGCTTGAAGTATCCCCTTAGGTTTGTCGGCGCGTCAGTGCGCGTTTCAAGCTGGCAGCACACCGCACCGCAGCGTGCCGTAAACTTGCCCACGATTAATAGGTCAGGGTATTAAAATGTAGGCAATTTGACATCAAATTCGAAATTTCGAAAATTCGACTCAAGAAACATCAGTTACGAAACTTTCGTGATCTTTCAGTCATTATCCGACTTATTCCTTCCTATTCTTTAGTTTTGGACCATGGTGCGCCACGGGCGGCGGCGCTCATGAAATTCTCCCCTGTGTTTAATCGGTGAAATAAAAACGTTAATATTTTCTTTAGGAGTTGGATTTAGTAATTTTCGTCGCGCGAATCGTAATCTACGTGAAATTTTGGTTAAGAAACGTGTATCAGATTTCTTAAATTTTTACTTTGTCTAGTGGTCCATTGAAGGCGCTTTAAACTACGCAGATTGACTGGTATAGCTTACTACGTAAAGCACGCGAGTAGACTCGTATCATTTACCATACTGCGTAGAGCCCTAATGTTCCTACTATATGTCACTCTTGGTTGCTCGATTTTTGGAAAATGTGGTACAAGGTGGCAATTTTTCACAATTAACTTGAATTCGAACTCAAATTTTCAAAATTCGAAAATCCAAGACGGTGGATGGGATCTATAATGCAATCTCGGGTCCTGTGCGACCGGCATGTGTGAAACTTGGTACCAGGGGCTATTCTCTGACGTTAAAGTCGAATTTCTAGTAAACTTTTAAAAGTTCAAAAAACCCAAGATGCCGGAAGAGACTTAAAATGGTATCTTGGCGCCTTCAGAATTATCCAATTTAGCAATTGAGATATCTATTTATTTTCTGTCATGAAGTTTCAAAATCGATGTGTCCTCTTAGCTGTTTTAGACGTCAATATTGACGCGCTCTTCAACTTATTTATGTTGAACCTATTTGTTTTTTGATTCATGTATTTATTGTTATATTTTTTTGATTCTTTACTTTTTATTCTTGTTTGATCATTTGGAGATCCATCCCCTAAGCTCACAATCTTTACAACATAGACGAAAAACGCAAAAGCAAGCTGATTGTCAGTCAGTTTGTTTCGATACTTCTTCAACTATTCCATTCTGTTTATTTCAAGTACTATGAATTCCGGTTTTGCGACGGTTCCTACTCATACATGTACTTATGTATCCCTTTCTAACGAAAGCTTACGAATAAAATTGAATGAACCATTAAAACAAGATATGTATTTCATCATATCTCGGATAAATCACGACAGATTTAAAATTGTTCATATTAGTTTACCCGCGTAAAGAAGGCATTGGAAAGAGCCTCCCAAAAAGTGGCCCCTCTTTTGGATTTCATTCGTATATGACCTAAATGAAAAAATAGGATGAGGCAAGCCTCCAGTAAAAGTTGGAGTTTGAGTATACGTCTTGTTTTCGAGATACAACGTTGCAAAGTTTGCATATTTGAGCCTTAAAATTTTTCATATTTTTATGGATTTCCTTTCAAAAAGCAACTTTAAGGTCGACTTTACAATACTCACATGAAGCGTAAATAAGATATTACGATAAAAAAACTCCACTGAAATTTTTGACTCACATACGCCTTGTTTGGACGTTGCAAACATTACATTTTTGAGCTTTAATATTACTAATTTTTTATATACTCGGAATAAATACATCAGAATGCCGGTAAAGCTACGGAGCTGATCGTGCTATAAGTAAAAAAAAATGCCATTTTTATCCCTCCACCCCCTCCGCTACCTCCTTTCTTTCCTACTTTCAGAAATGATTTTAATAGCTTGATTGAGGTCCTTTTTTATCTTTTCAAAACGGCAGTTAAGGTCTTGCGTGCCTCTTGGATTTGGGACTCACGTAGAGCTCTGTGATATACAATTTTGCGAGAATCACGATGGTTTGATGGTTTATGATGATCATGATCGTGATGGTTTTCCCTAAAACGAGTTCCCAAGATCACCTGCACCTAGCGTTTGTCTTCTCTATTTTAGGTCCGGGACCGCGGGAATTAAGAGGGAGCCAACTCGAAAAAATCCAAATTTCATCGTCTTGGTGCCTCCTTGGCGCCTTTTGGGAGGTCAGAGGTTTGCACTAATTTTAGCAGTATATTTTACTGGCAGAATGTTAAAATCCATCATAATTAAAATTCCCTATATATTCTGAAGGGAACAGAGAGAAAGGAGCCTCGAAGTAAATGAAATGTGGCTTTGCTGGGATTTTCTTGACATTGTTCCTGTCATTCAGTTTGTATATAGATTGCTACGTGCGACACACTTAAGGGCCTTTCAGTATGTGTAAAAGTCCGTGTCTCATAATTGACCAAATAGAAACCAACAATACCGACGGTATTGTTCATTTTTAGCTGGCTAATCTAGTTTTCGTTGTATAACGGCTGTATAAATTGCGTTGCATCACATCGACTATAAAGTGTTGGTAATATGGTAATAGTTGGTAAACAGCACCCTTTATTGCACCGATCGTAATTAGTGAAAGTATTTTGTTTCGATTCTTGTTTTAAGCTAAAGTGTGTGTTTTTTTTTTTTTTTTTGTGCAGTTAGATGATCAACTTTCTGAAATAATGCCCAGGGTTCCAATTCCACTTCAAGAAGCGGCTTCTAGACTGGTTAATAGAGAGCCTAGACAAAGGCCCACTGCTCAGCTTCTATCTTTAATTACTTATTTTAGGTACGTAATGTGATGACAACAGTAATTGCACTTTAAAGACAAAGAGCGACCCTTCAACTCCACTATCCTTTTGGGGCCGGGTTTACCTTCAATTTCGGGGATTCATAATTTCCTTTTGGAAATTTACAATGCAGCAACAGTCATCGGCCTCCTTGTTGACTGTTAACTACTTCATTGTTGGTTGATGAGCTGTGGGTAATGTAGTACATCAAGTTAGTTGACCAAACACCAAGCGAATTATTCGACACGCCGCTCAACAGCCAAGAATGAGGTAGGTTATCAGTCGAATGTTGGAGTCTCAAGACAGTAAAAGCTGCCACCAATGATGTGGCATCAGTGTAGGGTCTCTCTTAGTCTTTCTTGCACCAGTTGCACCCCTTAACCTAGGGCAAGCGTAAACGGTTGATCCCGCACCTATATCTTCTCTAGGGCCGAAATCACACGCTGAATTTGGCAGCTGAATATGGAAGTCAACAAACATCTCTCGAAGGCCGAAATTTCACAAAGTCGAGTTATTTTCATCCAGATTTGTATCAAATCTATTCAAATAGTTCAGACAAATCCAACATTATCGAACGTTCGCTGAGCCTGATTTTACGCGACCCGCGCAAAACTTACGCATCGGACCGATGACTTCCACATTCAAGGTACATGCAGTTCCGACACTCAGCGTGTGATTCCGGTGTGTAACGGACTAGGGCCTCCTTGATATAAGTCTGTATCCATAACCATTCCTTCATTAGCTCTTCCCCATCAGATCGGGATTAACTTATTTGCCGCCCATGGGCCACCTGTATTTTGCTTCCCCTTACTCCGTAACACTCCGTTTTAGAAAGATCAACAAAGGACCATCAAATGGACGAGCCGGAAGGGGCATTACTCGCACTTAAATCGCATTTACTCGTATTTGGCGCATTTTTGTTGAAATTCCTGGCCACGCGAGCAAAAGTGCATGGCACTATGCGCAAAAGTTAACCCTTACCTGCTCAGTGGTCAGTTATACTGACCACCTTTTTAAATAATTATTCATGGCCGTTTTGGCGCGACATACCCTTACCAACCATGTAGTTATACTTGGTCTATGGTCCAGAATATGAAAAAAAATATTGCCGGGCGATGTTATGTTGGCAATATTGTTTTATCATCTATTGTTTACCTCCGATTCGTTGGAGGTTTGGTGCCGCCGGTGTTATCTCCAGTTTTGCGGTTGTCAGTTGCTTGTGCGACGCAAATGGTTCTGATTTAGTAGTAAAATATTAAGTTAGACTATAATGCTGCGAGAATGTCATTTGGCAATTGAAAAATTCAGAAGTTTTGATTATTTAATTCATGCTTGAACATGGTGGTTAGTATAACTGACCACCGAGCAGGTGGCTATAGGAGCTGGAACTGGATTCTTGTTGCTTTATTTTTTATTATTATTTTATCAGTAATTTTTATGATTATGTTCATTACTTTTAATTATTGACCAAAATTATTATTTTAAAATTGCTAGTCTTATGTGGGAAAGGACCATTATCGTTGCATTTTGAAGAAATGAATTTATTTTATTGTGACTAGTCTTTGATTGCCTCCTTACTTATTCCAGTTACGCTCATATGTTCTTCACTTCAAGCAGTTTTATATATTTCTGCTTTATTTATACTCTTTTATAATAAATTATACATTTTTCTAAGAATAGCTTCACTCAATTTCCAAAAACAGAGACTCTATCACTTACAAACATGTAAGAAAAAGTGAAAAACTTACAAAATCTAAGGAGTCAACATTTATAATTCACTGGTAAAGTTAGTATGGAAGGTAAGGGGAGGTCTGCGAGGGAGGGGGTGGGGGCTTGGGGGGCAGAAATTGAATGTCTTGCGCGGATAGGTAGAGACAAGGATCATTTTTTACACAAAAATAAAAAAAAACACGAAAATTATATCCACATAGGTGAATAGGAAATTTGCGTATTCCTATCCTGTTCAGTGGTCAGTCATACTGACCACCCTATTTTGTCAAAATTTCCGGGTGAAAAAAAGTCAAAAAAATTTTTTTTTCACTAATTTTGAGTTATCTAGACCCAAAAGGCCTTAGAAAACTCGAAATTTCAAAAAAAAGTTCGAAACCCATAATGTGTGCAGGTAAGGGTTAAAGCTGCTATCCCTTGTACCGCCGAATGACGACAAAATTAGATATTACAATATTTTTACTCTAGGGAAATGAGAGATTTTGCCGCCTTTACTCCCTCTTACTTTTTTCTGACCCTGTACTTTTTTCATGTTCATGTTAAAAAAATCGCAGAATTCGCCGCCCCTAAAATTCTCAATTCTTCTGGCGGAACAAGTTTCGTAGTAGGATCATTTGTATACCTTTAAAATGATTTACTCCAAGAAATCAGTTTTTCATTTGAATACGACACCGTCCTTTAACATTTATTTTCAGTGATCCGGCCGTTCAAGCGCTACAGTTTTTAGATGTTGTTAATATGAAGGATCCTGCCCAAAAGAATCAATTCTACAGGACCACATTGAAAGACATTTTGCCGTCCATACCCCGTGTGAGTAAATATTTATTATTATTTTATCGATTTTTAATATTAGTAAACGAAAAATATGCCGTATTTTTCTCATTCTCATGTATTCCCATTTCCACTAGGGCGTCTCTCTCTAGCCATAATGCGACGACCTCCCCCCCCCCTCCTCCATAGGACGGTTTGCGGTAAAAGCGAGCCATGCAGAACCAATTTGGAAGTAGACAGTGAGCTTAACTAAATATTGTTACTCGTCGATAAATGGAAAATCGTATCGTACAATTGGTGATTTAAAATCAATTATTCCAAACTTCAAGCCATCAGTTTTGATGCAGATAATCGCAAAAAATTGCATGGATTAATTGGGATCAATGAAGGACTGGAATCCAAGAAGATTGACTAACCTGTCATTTAAACCAATTAAAATCGGCAAGACCAGAGTCAAGCAATGTCTATCAAGTCTCGATCCAAATTTTGATGCTAAAGACGGCATTGACCCTTGTGCATTGTCGCCATGTTCACGAATTTTTATCAAGTCGATTCCAAAAATCGATTTAATGGAAATCGATATTTTTTCGTCAATTTTTGATTCGGGACGATTTTTTTGTCCAAATCAAATCGATTCTCTGATATAGATATTTTCTCGCAATATCTCCATCATTTTATGGAATTCAGTAATTCGAGTCTTCAACTGAGAGCTCGGCCAAATGACCATTTTTTCTTCTTCAATGGAAGTGCAAAAGGTCTTGATCCCGTGTCATCTTCTGTCTCTTCAAAGAACCTAATTTGCCTGATGAAAACGCACGAATGTATTTACAAATTATGAGACCCTTTTATTTTCCCAAGCTGCAGAACTTCGGATCTAAAGTTGGAACCATTTTGACGCATCTATTAGCGTTTTTTGAGACAAAAGCAAAAGATGGCCTGCAAAACGGGGTAATGCGGTATTGAGGGAAATACTACTTTGTCATCCTTTTCAATAAATCGATTGATCTCCCGTTTATACCCATGTAGAAGGATCGATTGTGAGGGTGTTTGCAACAAACACTCAATGGCGAGGCGTAAATGATCAATTATGGATATTTCTCCATTTTAAGCTATGTTAAAGAATCTATTGTTAAGGTGTTCTTTGCGAACACCATGTTTATAGATCTTTTTTCATAGATTTAAATTGCAGATCAATCGCTATTTATCAAAGCATGCCACTGACAAACACCTTAATAATATTAATTCTTTACTATAGTTCCAAATGAGATAATGTCCATAGCCAATCATTTACGGTCTATTGCTGGTGTAGACACAGGAAGATACCCTGCGTTTTGATTTTTGATTTAATTGAATACGGGGGAGATTTGATTTTACTGATTTTCACAAAACATGTCTACTGAAATTTCTCATTTTTCATTTGATTTTGGATTTTTTAAGCATATTTAAAGTTTTCTGCTAAAGACGTTGATGAGCGAAAATTACTTAACACGTTTAAATTCTTAGCCAATAGTCAAGTCTATTCTAGAGGCGAATCCAGTTAGTTACATTGTTTTCCCTCCTTTTAAACCGGTGTCGAACAACTGGTTCTCGTCAGAGCACCTTGCTGCTCCAAGAATCCCCTCCAAGAAGAAGAATGAGTTCCTCCTGGAAGAATTTCCACAGGTTTAAATGCGAAGACCAAACAATGATGCCAACTTGATGCATTCGCCAATGAATTCAAAAGCACGGTTGTTACGAAAACTGCTTGCCAATTTTATGCTTTTGAAGTTCTAGAGAATTTTAGCGTAAGTCCCACTGTAAAACCTCTGAATCGCTGGGAGAAGTAACCTAGTAAAACCAGATTTTTCCAAGGCTTCCCAGAGTTTCAGCAGCGGCACGCTATCATGGGGCTTTTTGAGGATCTACGAAAACTAAGTGCAGCTCTTGTATTACTGCCAATCTTTTCTCAATTATCTGAGTGACACAAAGTAGATGGTCAATCGTCAATCCACCCGCTCTAAGCCCCGCCTGCTCTTCTGATTCACTGGACTTCCATTCTTTTTCCATCTTCGGTTTCAAAATTTTCCCGTAGATCTTACTCAACGTTCCTGTCACCGACAAACCTTTATAATTTTCGCAATCTTCCTTTCGGCCCTTTTTATGAGTATAGCTGTGATCCACGACTCTTTCCATTCTTTCGGAACCTCACTCTCTGTAATGCACTTCTATACCAGGTCCCTAGTAGACAAAAATAATGTAGTGGGAACCGTTAGGAGGAAAGCGGAACCACATTTTATATTTTACAACTTACACTTTATTCTCTGACTTAGCTGCTCTAACAGGGGCTGGACCGGGTTGTCCGGGTTTTAGAACCACACATCGACTGACCCCGTACGAGCGGCTTCTGCGAGCTTCTATGCCAACGCCCGAAGCTTTCGTGCCCAACTCCGACTTCCGAATCGCCGTAAGCTCCGCGCGTGGACATAAATAATCGCGTCTCAAAAACTCGCATCTAACACGCATGGCCCTGTCATGGAAATCCGCGATATCTCACGACTTGCCATGTCCCCAAACCAGCCTCCTCCAAGTAAATCGGTTTAACCGATTCCACTACAATAACTTCCTTTTCCCGCACTTTATTAACTCTGCTGGTATCCCTCCCGGTCCGGGTGCTTTGCGATTTCTCAACCCCTTGGTGGCCTTTACATAACTTCTTCATAAGTATGACATGCAAAGATTGATTATCCCCTGGTTCTTCATCTGCTGTGCTCCCTCCCTGAAACTCTGGTCGCCGTTCCGTCAACAAATTTCTAAATGGTCTTCAAATTGTTTTAATGTCACCGGTGATAGGTATATTTCTCTTTTTAAATCCCTGCGTGAGCGCTTGATCACCTTCCAGCTTCCAGCTTTCCGCACTCCTCCACCCACCCAAATGGGTATCGATCTTGAAGCAGTTTCTCTCCCAGGTGTCATTCTTCTTCACTACCAGCTCACGAACTTTTGCCTGGGCTTATTTCTACGCTGTTTTATCCGTTAGGATGCCAGATGATTGGTTGCCTATGAAGGCTCTGGATTGGGTCCCCCTTGGCAGAAAACGTTGAGGACGCCCTGCCAAATCGTGGAGATGCGGTGGTTGGGCTGTCAGCGGCGGTTGGGTGTCGCAGAGTGCACAGAAGCGCTATAAAAGCGACTTATAAGTAGTAGTGGTAAATTTTAGAGGATAATAATTGTCCTACGTCCGGTTGGACATAACTGCCCGGTCACGCACCGACCTGCTTGGATATAACGGTTGAACTGCAACGAAAAAAAGTGAAGTTGATTTAACATTCTGAATGTAAAAAGTGTGCGAGAACTCACAAAACGCTGAATTACCCACTACAACAGTTAGTTTTACATCTTCACATTGCTAAAGTAATTGCTGTAGCGGTTAATTCAGCATTTCGTAAGTGCTCGCACACTTTTTTTACGTCCAGAATCTAAAATCAACTTCACTTTTTTTAGGTGTGGTACTTACGGTTCCTGGAAAATACTGAATTAACGGAGAATAAAACTTTGGTTAGAAGGACTGAACTTTAGTTCATGTGTAACTAAAAGGTTTTCAGTGCAGAGATCTCATCATTGCAATTGATAGACAAAGCAATAGAAAAAGGAGGCAAACAAGAAATAGAGCGATCCCATCGGTTGAAATGGGCAGTTGCAGTGGACCAAGGAGGTATGAAATAAACCAACTAATGGCAACCCCCGAGTGACCCCTCACTAGTTTGTCTACCATTTTCCCCATGAGTGTGTAACAACCATCCGTTTCAACTTACCAGATCGCTCCACTGTCCGGTTGTCGTCTTATTCTGTAGTTTTTTCTATTAATTTCGACACTTAGCCTTCAAGGGTTTGGTTCCTTTGACTGAAAGTACTAGTTACACGCCGGCTGCTTATTAAAATTGATATACGAAGCTAAAGACAAAGGGGACTAAGGTATAATGTTGCAATCCAATTTGTTGAACGGGTGGTTGTTACAGACTGTTCAAGTGTAGAATGATGAAGTAATCACGTGTCCTTAATAGGTTGATGTTAATTAGTCTATTACTTACCTCCTTTAACCACTGCAACCTCTCGTCTGCAACGATGAGATTGCACCGTGCACCGTACTCCGTTTGTCGTCTATATCCTTGTCGATCAATTTGAATAATCAGTCCGCTGGACGAAAAACATTAGTATTCCGTACAAACATAAATTGTCGTTTCATTGAGAATACAGACTGAGACAGCGATACAAGACAGCGTCCTTGTAACTACAAAGATTATAAAAATCCCTTTCCATTTCTATCGTAAAAAGGATGGACTGTTTTTTGTCAGATGATTCAGCCAAGGAACAACGGGAAGACCTTGACCACTTTTTAGCTGTCCTTCATTTCAAAGATAACAGCGAAAAAGAGGAGGGAGGGGGAAGTATGACCATCATGTTGCTAGATCAAAGAGTCCTGAGCTAAAAAGAAATTTTTTTTTTTTTTTTTTAGTCATTGCTTCTATCAGAATGAGTAATCTTCGCACTCGGAAATGTGGACCCACTCGTAAATCCGGTTGTAAGCGTTATTTCCGGGAGTTGACGATGATTTCATCTGAAATAGAAAACCTCATAGAAAATTATTTTTCCCTTATCCTCCTCCGATGTCTCTAGGTTCCCTCTTCCGTCATTCCATTTTCCTACCACGGATAATCCCCATTTCATCTCACTGTGAGCTTTTATTTGAAACTGTCGTGAATTATGATCTAACACGTTGTGCTATCATGCCGTACCTGTACCGCAAATACAACAACTTGAATGTTACGGCAGTCGGACTTAAATAACTCGAACATCGATATCTCGAAAACTTCGATGACTATAACTTATAGCTGATACGAGGGGGCCGTATGCTCCCATGGCTGCTCCGCGGCCCAACCTTAAAAGGGCGCTTTGCGTCTTCTTTGGCCGGTTTCGCGGGCTTCAGTTAATCTAAATATATATGTGAAGCGGGCTATATGAAAGGAAGTGCTGTCAAGTGCCCTAAGTTTTTCGTTAAACAATTATGAAAAAAAAATGATAGAAAATCAGGCAACGTGAGATGCAGCTAGGGTGACTTTGAATAAAACCATCCAAAATGGTCTTCGTACTTCATTACGTTTCCCGTAATTTACTCCTTCTTTAAATACACGAGGTTTTAACATGTGCTAATTCAAACCACTTTTTCGGATTAATAGCCTCAAGTATAAACAAGAATGAGGAAAGAACCTGTCAAATAAAGGGTCATTTTGTGTCCCTTCTTTGAGGAACTTACGGATTTTCTCCAATTATAGCCTAAACGAAACCTTATAATGGTACATGCCATTGATTGTTTTAGCTTGAGCTTAAAGCTCATTTTGGCAAGACAGCGTTGCAAAGTTTAAATTTCTTACGATTGATAAATTCTATTATTTTGAATTTCCCTGGTTCCTGGAAAAAAACTCGAAAGTATTAACATTTTTGGAACAAAAAACTGTAACTTTTTCAACGCTGTATCACCAAAATGTGCTTCGAACTTAGAGTTGAACATTTCATCGGTAGATGTCTCATCACAAGGTTTCGTTCAGGGCCCCTTCGAGCAAAATCCCTGAGCTCCCTGAAAGTGAGACACTCCTCTGTCGTGGCAGCAAAGAGAGCAGTACCTAAGTGTCAAATTTTCGAAATTGAGTTTCCTTCAAAATTTGTTTTACGTTTTTTAGATGATCACTGAAGTAGCCAAAAAACAAAAATCATCTTCATTATACAAAAACGAGACTTAAGAGAAAGCCATAAGTGCGCAAAAAATGAAGTACTTTCAGGCAAAACAGCCGTGAAAGACATTATTCCTTCCAGAGAGCCAATGAAAATAGTGCTGCCAAGTGTAGTCCCGCCCTCTTCTGCCAACTTCTAACTTGAAAATGTGTTTGTTGTCCAACACGCAATAACGGAAGCATGCAGGAGATAGCACTTAAGATCATTATAATCATTAAATATCTTGCTTAACAACAGCCCATTATGAAACTGAATATTACTCTTTTCATGTAATTGAAATACAATCGGTCGATTTTAAATTATCCAAACGATTTCTATGAGTCTTCCGGATGATCAGTGGCACTTTGACAAAGAAAGGAGGCTTCTATCAGTAATATTTCCCAGTCACATGCTTCTGCGCCCGTTTTCTCAAAACTTCATTTTTGCACTACACTGAAAAAACTGGTATGCTGTTTTAGCACCTAGGATGTCAAAAATGTGTCTGGTGATCCTAAGATGCAGTCTTGATGGCCCACACAGTTGAATTTGCATTCACAGGATGTAGAGTTGACTGCGAGGGCAGTAAAGGCAGTATCTTGGGATCACCAGACACATTTTTGACAGCTTAGGCGCTAAAACAGCATATTATTTTTTTCAGTGTAACTGCTCTCTTCGCTATCACAGCAGTTTTCACACTTTCCCCGGGATTTAATAATGAATAACAACTTATAATGACTTTATAATTATTTAAAAATTAATTTATGTTTTCGTGTACTGGTTTGACAGAAATTATGGCTTCAGCACGTGTGGCCGTGTCTGTATGCAGAGATGAAGACGCAAGAGTCTTTGGCGTCCGTCCTTCATCCCATTCTAGTGCTCATCCAAGAATGTTCCGTCGAAGAGTACGAAAATAATATTCTACCCGCCTTCCGGTAAGAATCTATCTGCATTCCCATAGCACACTCAAAAACATGTTTATCAAACATATTCGTTTTACACTCGAGATTATTTAAGCACTCTAGTACAAGTTTCTTCGTCAAATTTGCACTTAGAACAAAACAAGCACAACGACAATACTGAAAACAACTTCTTACTAAGATAGCGAACGATTTCTGATACGTAAATTAAAACCTCCTACTCATAAAAACATAATAGGCCAAGTGAGCTAAATGGCACGCTAGACTTTACATCTCTGCGATATGTAAACCTGCCCGCCCGGCAATGGGCCGTTGCAGCAACGTTGTAGTAACGTCGCAAAAAATCAAGTAACGTTCCTGGCCTACGTTGTCACAACGTTGGTAAAACGTTACTTTTGTCCGCGGAGCGCAACGTTTCGAGGTAACGTTGCCACAACGTTGCTGAAAAAGTAGTCCTAACGTACCTCACTAACGTTGTACCTACGCCGCGTAACAACGTCACGCTCTGCGGCCAAAAGGAACGTCCTCACAACGTTACTCGATTTTTTTTTTTTTTTTTTTTTTTTTTTTTTTTTTTTTTTTTACTTTGCTTTTTTTTAAGGTATTTTATTTTTTTTCATTTAGTAGACATAATTTTTTTTTTTTTCTTTCTTTTTCTTTTTCTCCATTAGACATCTAAGTAGTGATATTAAATTTCACAATGGAGCAAAGGGTACATGACTAAATCGGTCATGTATGGTACAGCCATCATCTTATATACTATGTCTGATACAGGCCAGACTTTCAAAGAGGAAACTCTTGATTTTGAAACCCTATAAATATTAATTAGGGAACTTGGACACGGCACATCAAAGAAATCTCGGGGTTGAAGAAATTGGCGCGCAACAATAACCATACCATTCAATTTGTCACAAAAACAAATATTTTCAACTGAGACCACTTCCTTTCCTTTAAGAAAACAAAATGACTCCGACTCTACTTTAGGACGGATTTGAAAATTTCGGAAACGAACAGTTTTGTATTCAGGACTTGAGCAATATGACAGCAGTGGCCCACTTTGATGGAGACCTTCAAACTGAGGAGAACAAGAAACCTCGGATGCTTGTTTAATACCAAGAACTGAGTCCTCTATATGGCGGTTAACGAGTTGTTGTAGCGCTTGGTCTCCCTTCCTTACTTTGTTCTTCAAATGGCCCAGGAAACTGTCGTATTGGAAGCTGCTGAAACTCTCAAGAGGCCCTAATGTTCTCACATCTTGAACTAAATGATTCAGATAAAGCCCATGAAAATTGTGAGTAAGAAATTTTTCGTCATACAATCGGCAAAATTGCTGAAGGAATTTTAACAAAAGTTTTTCAGCATAATTCAAAAAATCTTCCTGCTTACACAAGATAGGATCCGCTAAAATTTGTATTGCCACATGGAAACATAAGAAATTGATGTATAAGAAATGATGTATCGCAGATTATCTAATTCTCTCTTCAGACAGACAGGACCAATATATAAGGAAAAAAGCCTGTACTCAGTGGCTTTGAAAAACGGAAGATGGATAAGAGATCTAGGTTTACGCTGGAAATCAGAGGGAATATACTTGCGGCATTCTTCAAGGTGGGCTGAAACAGAAGTACACTGCCTTGCTGATAACTTATATGGTACCTCTCCTGCTGTCCAAAGACTTAGAAATTACTGTCTAAAATTACTGTCTGTCAACTTGGATATTTTTTTGTACAAGTTTTATACAGCTTTACATTTTCATATCGCAAGTTACTTCTGCATAAGAGAACTTGTATGATAGGTCAGAATTTTATAGCTGAGCAGTTCTCTTCAGGTTATTTTATTTCTCTCAAATTATTTT